GCTACAAGGAAACCAAAACAGCGCTAAAGCAGTCTTTCAAGCGGGAGTGGAGAAGGCAGAATGGAGATTACAGACCAGAGAGTGACAGCATAAACAAACTCAAAAGGAAAGAACAAACATCAATTTTTAGACTTCGGACTGGACACTGTGGTCCTCGAGCACACCTGTACAGGATAGGCATAAAAGAATCTGCTGCCTGTGATTGTGGAGCAGAAAGACAAACCCCTGAGCACATACTGCAGTACTGCCGTAACCTCTCCCAGCAAAGACTGTGGATCTGGCCCAGGAGATCCACATTGCGAGAGAAGCTATGGGAGACCGGTGACGACCTTAAACGTACAATCCTATTTGTGACATAGACGGGACTCAATGTTTAGCATGACTAATGTCGAACGCAGAAGAAGAAGAAGAAGAAGAAGAAGAAGAAGAAGAAGAAGAAGAAGAAGAAGAAGAAGAAGAAGAAGAAGAAGAAGAAGAAGAAGAAGAAGAAGAAGAAGAAGAAGTGCCATTATAAAATTTAAAACATGAAAATGTTAACCTCGTTAGTTAATGTCGACAGCATCACACACTTACTTTTCAAGATCATCTTGCCAACCAATTTTAAAATTGATAAGCCCAGGTCAATAATAAATATATTTTTTTCATGCTATTTCGAGCCAAAGATATTTAGACAGAAAAGTATCAGGCCACGGCAGTAGAGCGGCTCTTTTTTATTTTATTTTACCCCCCCCCCCTTTTTTTTTTTTCATTTAGTGGTGTGTGAAACTACTAGGTGGAAAAACGATACATAAATAGTTGTTCGGAGTACCTTCTGGCCACCAAATTCAGATATCATGAGACATAGTTTTACAGCTGTTAAATACAGAGAATAGATTTTCGGACAGATTTGAATATAATAATTGCCAATTATAGTCGTTCAAATGTAAGTACGGCTAACATAGTTTTCAATTATTAAATTTTTACCAAGGGCTCTCTGATCTCAGCTTCTTTGTTCAAATGAGTGTTCTTTAATTTAGTTAGTTAGTTAGTTAGTTAGTTAGTTAGTTAGTTAGTTAGTTAGTTAGTTAGTTAGTTAGTTAGTTAGTTGGGTTATCCTCATTGCACTCCGGACATGTCCATAAGTGCTCAGATCCTTCCCTCAGTATGAACCCCAACGTCCGATGGCTAATAGTACCAGTTCTATGTTGATTAACAAGTCTTCTGGCGTGTCTGGTGTGCGTCTCGTTTTTTGCTGTACCGATCTTAATTCCCAAGTCTGCCATTCTGGCGAGTGATGTGGATTCACTGCCACCAAAGTCCTCTACCCTTCCCATTTCTCTGAGGGCATTGATAATATCAGCATGATCCATAGGCTGACCATCGTAAGTGATAGCGGATCCAGCCAACCTGTCAGCTCTTTCATTTCCATCGACGCCTTTAATATCTGGTGAAATACCATCGTACACTATGCGTCATCCCCTTGTGGGGTGAATTTTTTGTTATTTTGAAGCCCCACCCTGGCATTGCCAGTGGCAGCAATATAGCCCTGCCATAAATATGGCCTAATGGCTGAACGCGGTTTCAGGAACCTCTCCACGGGTGATCCTCATCCACATGGTGGAATTTTGTGTCATCGGGTGTTTATCGCTTGTGTGATGTCCTAGTGGGGAAAATGTACTACTTAGCAATCACTATTTAAGAAAAAAAAAATAAAACGTTTTCAAAGTCAAACCTCGCAAACCTCTCTAGATTCGTTTTGTCTCTTAGTTGGGTTCTCTATCTCCACATGGCCGTATTGCTCAGCATATTTTCATTGAATAATTTATTGTGTAACTTTCCTTGACAGAAATCTGTCATCTTCCCTCCTGTCTTATCTCTCCGCGTCAACTCTGTTGCAAGTGTAAATGTTCTTTTACATAAGCTGTTAGAATGGCTAGGGTTTCGATCAGGATACCCGGGTTCCATCCTAGGTAAGGTGATAAAGGTGTGCCCCCCCCCCCTTCCCCTGTCGTGAGCAAAAATAAGCATCCTAATCTGTGCAGTTCATGGTGATTGCACCAGCAATTCTACCCTAAATCTTAAACTCCGTCCCTCCTGGAACAATACTGCCCTAAAAATGAGTACATACAGGCAATAAGGGGGAAGTGCCGTTGTGGTGTAGGCTAGAAGCTCGTCTGCGGGTCGGAGGGTGTGGGTTCGGGTCCTAACAGTACCAGACTTTTTTTTCAAAAATGAAATTGGCTCACAGCTTGACTTAGCCTTAAATGGTACCAGGTAAAGTCCTGGGAAGTAAAGGTGGTCAGTGTAATATTGACCAGATATCACACCGAGTGCCGATTGGTCTATAAAATTCAGATCAAGTTCTGTATGACTAATACGTCAAAAACCTGCCAATTACTGCCTTTATTATAACCACTGTTGCGGTGTAGGCAGGAGGGTCTTTGAGCCTGACCAGTGCTGTCGCCACGACTGTGCAGGTGAGAATTTTAGTTTGCCCCCGACAGAAAAACAATTTCTAGCCTTACCGAGGATTCGAACCCGTATTTCCCGCTTCAGATACCAGCGTGCTGACCGTTTCGCCTGCCGTTCAAAGACACGAGCGACAACCATGCGTTTTGCTTCACTGCACTTTCGGTCTCCCAGTGTTATGTTAGTTGCTTCCCTTTGCTTCTCCTGAAGCTCAAATTAAGACTTTGAGGTTTGAGGTTTGAACAACCGATCAACATCACGGCACACGGGTAATAATCCATAAGTGCTCCGTTCTTCCTCTAACCCAAGTCTGAGTCTAAAGAAGCTCAGCACAGTCCACAGGCTCTGTAGCACCGGCGAGGATCCGGAAATACTTTGGGTAAATTTTTAACTCCAAATTTTGCCCGCGCAGCGTTGTTAGGCTACTCTTTTCAATTTCCAAATGCCAAGTGATTTTTTAGGTTCATAACAATACACACGGGTGTTCGATCTCACTGCCCAGAGACCAGGGGGAATTACTAGAATCCAAGTCCACTTGAAAAAAAAATCCAAGCCTTTACCGGGGATTGAACCCGGAACCTCTAGCACTCGAGGCGGACACCAAGCATCGAGATCATGCAGCCCTGAAAATAAGACTTTAAGTATCAGACAACATCCAGTACGTTTACTGGTAATTCTGTGAGGCAGTGTGCCCTCCCTGTCATGATCCCATAGAACCAAGGCTCGTTCTAGTTGGGATCTGTTTACACCACTGAATGGTCGTCATATACCCATCAAAGATGCAAACAGCGGAGAATAGAGAGTGAGAAGCAACAACGATATTCATAATCTGTTTAAATCACCACTGATCACTGGCATCATGAGAGCTAATAGACTTAAATGATTGGGACATGAAAGAATGTCAGATGACAGAGAAGTAAAAACTGTATACACAAGGGAGATGAATGGTCGTAGACCACGAGGTGGACCAAGAAGACGATGGAGAAATATATATCCAGACAGGCCTGTCACCAAATGGAAAGAGAGGGCCAACCAGAGAGATGAACGGAGGCGGGTGATATCTGCAGCAATGAATCTCAAGGGCTCGGAATGCTGAAGAAGAAGAGGAATGGTCGTCATATAAAAGGAATGTCTACCATAGATCTGATAAACATATATAGCATCAACATTTCCATATAGTACGCTGCACATCTGACAGAGGGCAAGGAATCAACATTCTGATCTGAAAACCGGATATGCATGCAACATCCAAATATGACTTTCTGTCGGTGGTCACAGCCGGTCAACGTAAAACAAGAATAAATTCGTTTTTTATACATAGTGATTAGTGAACAAGTACATGGACGCGGTGGAGATGTGGTTTTGTAGACGATTAATGAGAATAACATAGACCAGTGATCAGCAATCTCTTTAGTTGAAAGAACCAAAAATCAGCAGCAGGACCATTACACATTTTTTTTTAAAGCCAAATTTCTATTCAAGAACCTGTCAAGAACAATGTTTTTCGCAGTCAAAACCGATTTGTGGCCGACCGGCCGAGCCTCACTCAGGTCGCTAATGCGCCGCACGCGGCTCGCGTTTTGCCGACCACTGACTTAGACAAATGTATAGAAAAAAGGGTAAGGAAGTTCTCGAAAGAAGTTGACACACGAAGAGAACTGACTGCCCACTTCAGAAGGACACAATCTACATTCACTAATCATATGATGGTAAAGAGAGAACATGAGTACAGCGAGGGAAAGTTGAAGGGGAAAGCAGACAGACAGAGAGAGCATATATAAACAGTTCAACATTATGGTATGGAAGTTTATCCTTAGAACAAATTGGAAGTACACGAGACAGAAGGTTATAGATAGACATTACTAACAACCCCACACGGCATAAGAATCAGATGCATTTCTAACTTCTCCAGACCAGTTCTTCTGTTACAACAAACTATTTTGCCCTAATCTGTATCAAAACAGTAAATTATAGACCGAGAGAGAAGACGCTGGACAGTCTGACATTACGGTATGGAAGATCATCTGTGTCAGAGTTGTTTGAAAGCACACGAGATAGAAGGTTGTGTAGACATGACTACCGATACCACACTGCATGGACTTTGAGAAGAAGAACCTGAGAGCCAAGGTCAAATATAATTTTTAAAAATATTGTCGGTACGGATTCGAACTCAAAGATATTTGAACCGGCATACAAGGTCTAACCACTGCACAACCCATCAAGACAGTAGTCTAATCTCTAGCAAGCTAAGTATTATTATGTTTCGATCACGATAGTGACCCAGCCTCAAACAACATAGATGTTAATCTATGTCATTAGTAAGGTTGTATTTTTTATTTGTATGTCATGGTGGCGAAGTTTCTCGTTTTTAAATCTCATTGTATGCTACACGGCCAACCCACTCTTAATATTTCAAATTTTACAGTGTATACATGTCTACATACGTTCAGTTGAGCGCGCATATACACACACGCATATACACATAAACATACACACATACATATACACACAACATAAGACATTACACGGTAACACGGTTTTTAAAAGCATGTCTAATTAGTATGTATCACAGGTTTTGAACTCCACCCTCTAAAGAGGCCTTGCTCAGACTTGCTGAGGCCGATGGAATCGTTGGAGTCAGGCTTCGAAACTGATATCTCTTCGTCTTTGAGGGTCTCGTAGTCGCTCTTGTTTCGGTATAAACAGTAATGCTGGATGATAAACAGTGTGTCGAAAAATATGGTGACCACGCCGAGGCCAAATTTTGTCACGTTGCCAAATATGGACTCCCAGTCATCTGAGAAATACAATCACAGTCATCTCAGAAATATTTAATAGTCATCTGATAAATACAATCATAGTAATAATATGAGAAAAACAATCACATTTGTGTGAGAAACACATTCACAGACATCTGAGAAATGAATAACAGTCATCTGAAAAATACAATCATAGTCATCTGAGAAATACAGTCACAGTCATCTGAGAAATGTGAGTTTGGTCATAATCATTTGAGAAATACAATCACAGTCAACTTGGAAATACAAACATAGTCATAGGAGAAACAATTTCACAGTTATCTGACAGATATAAACATAGTCATCTGAGAAATACAACATACAATCACAGTCATCTTAGTAATACAATCACAGTCATCTCGCAAATACTCCTCGTGTGAGTTCTGACGCTCCATTGTGGGGAAAACAAGAACAGACCCACTGCCTCCCTAAAAAGCTAGCCGTACGATTCGACTAATTGGGGCATTCTTTGAAGTCGCAGTGCATCTGCCCGAGCGGCAAGGAATAACCAACTGCACACAAATAAGCCAGTAAAACGGATGCACACGCAAAACTCAGGCCTTGTCACAAAGCCAAAGTCCAAATGGACGAACAACCAGGACTTTCCACCGGAACTTAGAGTCGGTGAACAAAGAAGAAGAAGAATTTGGGAAATAAAATCACAGTCGTCTGAGAAAATACAGTCACACTCTTCTGAGAAAAATAATTATAATCATCTGAGAAATACAAACACAGTTATCTGAGAAATACAAATGCAGTAAAAGTCATGTGATAAACAGTCAATGAAAACTGAGAAAACAGAAGCACAGTCAATGTCATTTAAGAAATACAGTCAATGTCATCTGAGAAAGAAAAAAAAACCCAATAAAGGTCACCTGAAAAATACAGGCAACGACACCTGAGAAAACAAAACAATGACAACCGAGAGATACATTTGTCTAAAAAAATGCTATCGAGACTAGTTAAGAAATGCATCTGAAGTCATTTTATAAATATATAAATAAAAGTTAAGGACCTCGTGGGCATATATGGCCAGACCTCAGTGGCTGATGTGGTCAACATCACGCCTGCCACCTTTACTTCCCAGGACTATACCCGGTACCCATGTATGGCTGGGTGTTTGAGAAACATAGACACAGTCATCTCAGAATTATAGTCAAAGTCATCTCAGAAATATAGTCGAAGTCATCTCAGAAATATAGTCAAAGTCATCTCAGAATTATAGTCACAGTCATCTCAGAAATATAGTCAAAGTAATCTCAGAATTATAGTCAAAGTCATCTCAGAAATATAGTCAAAGTCATCTCAGAATTATAGTCACAGTCATCTCAGAAATATAGTCAAAGTCATCTCAGAATTATAGTCACAGTCATCTCAGAAATATAGTCAAAGTCATCTCAGAATTATAGTCACAGTCATCTCAGAAATATAGTCCCAGTCATCTCAGAAATATAGTCAAAGTCATCTCAGAAATATAGTCAAAGTCATCTCAGAAATATAGTAAATCTCATCTCAGAAATATAGTAAATCTCATCTCAGAAATATAGTAAAGTATTCTCAGAAAAATAGTCAAAGTCGCCCAAGAAATATAGTCTAAGTCATCTAAGAAATATAGTCAGTCATCACAGATTATAGTCAAAGTTGATTAAGAAATATAGTCAAAAATCATCTCAGAAATATAGTCAAAGTCATCTCAGAAACATAGTCAAAGTCATCTCAGAAATGTAGTCAGTCTTCTCAGAAATGTAGTCATAGTCATCTCAGAAATATAGTCAAAGTCATCTCAGAAATATAGTCAAAGTCGTCCAAGAAATACAATTAACATCATCTGAGAAATTCGTACGATGTCAGCTGAGAAATACAGTCACCGTCATCTGAAATGTACTTCTCCTGTGTATTGTGTTCGTTCAGAACTTGTCTGCGATACTTGCGCCTTCCGGCCGATGCATCCACCTTCTGCAGGCATTTGATACACACGAGTCATCCACCTTCTGCAAGCATTTGATAAACACGAGTCATCCAACTTCTGCAGGCATTTGATAAACACGAGTCATCCACCTTCTGCAGGCATTTGATACACACGAGTCATCCACCTTCTGCAGGCATTTGATAAACACGAGTCATCCACCTTCTGCAGGCATTTGATAAACACGAGTCATCCACCTTCTGCAAGCATTTGATACACACGAGTCATCCACCTTCTGCAGGCATTTGATAAACACGAGTCATCCAACTTCTGCAGGCATTTGATACACACGAGTCATCCACCTTCTGCAGGTATTTGATAAACACGAATCATCCACCTTCAGCAGGCATTTGATAAACACGAGTCATCCACCTTCTGCAGGCATTTGATAAACACGAGTCATCCAACTTCTGCAGGCATTTGATAGACACGAGTCATCCAACTTCTGCAGGCATTTGATACACACGAGTCATCCACCTTCTGCAGGCATTTGATACACACGAGTCATCCAACTTCTGCAGGCATTTGATAAACACGAGTCATCCACCTTCTGCAGGCATTTGATACACACGAGTCATCCAACTTCTGCAGGCATTTGATAGACACGAGTCATCCACCCTCTGCAAGCATTTGATACACACGAGTCATCCACCTTCTGCAGGCATTTGATAAACACGAGTCATCCAACTTCTGCAGGCATTTGATACACACGAGTCATCCACCTTCTGCAGGCATTTGATAAACACGAATCATCCACCTTCTGCAGGCATTTGATAAACACGAGTCATCCACCTTCTGCAGGCATTTGATAAACACGAGTCATCCAACTTCTGCAGGCATTTGATACACACGAGGCATCCACCTTCTGCAGGCATTTGATACACACGAGTCATCCAACTTCTGCAGGCATTTGATAAACACGAGTCATCCACCTTCTGCAGGCATTTGATACACACGAGTCATCCAACTTCTGCAGTCATTTGATAAACACGAGTCATCCCCCTTCTGCAGGCATTTGATAAACACGAGTCATCCACCTTCTGCAGGCATTTGATACACACGAGTCATCCAACTTCTGCAGGCATTTGATATACGAGTTAGCCTTTCCGAATCTCAGCAGTTGAATGAAAGTCATCTGAGAAATACACAGAAACATGGCTACGAAATTGCCGCTTTTCGGCCGACAAATCCAACTTCTGCAGGGATTTAAAACCCGGATTAGCCTTCCCAGATCTCAGCAGTTGAATGAAAGTCATCTGAGAAATACACTGAAAGTTATCTGAAAAATACATAAAGGTTATCACAGAAAAACAGTCATCTCACAAACGGAGTTATCATCCAACGAAGAACTGTGATGAACTAGCTGAAATCCGTGTGTGACAGAAATAGTTCAAGAAACGACTGCTTGTGACAGAAGGTAAATGGTTCATTTCAAAACAGTAGCCCAAAAGGAATATGAAGCAAGATCTATTCTCAAATGGGCTCCTCGAAACACATGCATTTGGAAACCACAGGATCTATCGTCTTCTCCTTCTTCTTCCTCTTCTTCTTCTGCATTTATTCGAAGACGTTAATGCGTTGTGCCGATTTAAACATGGCTGCGATAATGACGCCTTACCGCCGACACATCCTACTTCTGCAGACATTTATTGTCCGGGTTAGGCTTCAATGGGAGTCTCGATATGTTGGACAGAACTAGCACCCACTTACCTCCGTTGTAAGCCAGCAGGAACATCTGCAGTATACTAAGCCAGCCTCCGATGAAGTCGCAGAGAACGTTCCCTATACTCCAGCCGACTGTGCTCTTTCTTCGGAAGTTCAAATATGCCTGGGGTGACAGAGTGTTGACCGGTTAAAGCAGGGGTTCCCGGTGACAGAGAGTTGACTGGTTAAAGCAGGGGTTCCCGGTGACAGAGAGTTGACCGGTTAAAGCAGGGGTTCCCGGTGACAGAGTGTTGACTGGTTAAAGCAGGGGTTCCCGGTGACAGAGTGTTGACTGGTTAAAGCAGGGGTTCCCGGTGACAGAGAGTTGACTGGTTAAAGCAGGGGTTCCCGGTGACAGAGTGTTGACTGGTTAAAGCAGGGGTTCCCGGTGACAGAGAGTTGACTGGTTAAAGCAGGGGTTCCCAACTATATTAAATAGAAGTGCCTTTATTGTATTTAGAGGGAGCCCCGTATACCTATCGTACTAGGGCTTTCTTTGAGAAGGTAAAAAGATGGGGAGGACATAGGGTGAGCCTGCAAAAGCGAAAGATATAACGACTTAGAATGAGTTGGTCGAGGGCCTATGCTCTGTTGGGGGATAGAAAGCAGAAAAATACTAGAATTTCAGTTCCAGGAGGGGCATGTGAAATCTGGCGTTTATGGTAGCCCACTCATTTTCGCTGCCTGTCAATAACTTTTAGAGCTAGTGGTAGCAGATTCGGATTATCCTTAATGCACAGTCAACCGTTCAGTCTATAAGTGCTCGTATATTTTTAAAAAAGTAAAGATTCCTTTTCACGCCTTTCGGCGCATCGGGCATATGGGCAGAGCGTCCCATATTTTTACAGACCATCAGCACTCTGTGGGGAATGTGGTCAGCATTACGCCGGCTGTCTTTACTTTCCCAGGACAGCCCATCCTGGTACCCATTTTAGGCTGGGTCGACCTGCGACGTCCCATACCACGACAAAAATCCACGCAGCCTGCAGTGGGTTTCGATCGCGGTATGCTGGCTCACGAGTCGGACTCGCAACTCGTATACCCCTCAATAAATGCCGCAGCGTGCAGCGGCTGGCGACACCAGTTCAGTCTTGGTTTCTTATTCTTCTTTAGCTTCCTGCATAGTTTCCTTGTCCGGCTAAACTCCTTTTAGCATATTGTTCTTGCAGTCTGTTCATGGCTGCAGATTCGATAGTCATCACTTGGTTCTCGCAAACGTCTTATTTCTCATAGAACTTTCAGAATATCAACCTTGTCCATAGCTGGTCCGCCCTCTACAGCGGCTTTACATGTAAGCCTATCGGCTGGTGCATTTCCATGCACGCCTGCGTACCTGATATTCGTCAGCCTTGACCGCTTCAGTGACTCCAACCAGTATCTTTATAATTCATATGAGTTGAGTTGATTTAAGAATCGATATCACAGCACTCGGGGTATTCCCATAAACGCTTCGTCCTCATCTTCAGCACCCGGCGCAGGATCCAAATACTAATGGTACGTACGAGTAGCAGTCTGAAAATGTGTGTGTGTGGGTGTATATATATAAACATATATAGGGACAGGTATTTGGGATGAATAAGTGCTCTGTGGATCCATTTTTGCCGCCCCTTCTCCCCTTCATTTCCCTCAGCTACACTTTAGCATTGCTATTAGTTTGCAGATGATCATACAGTAAGTTGTGGAATTATTTACTGCAATTTGATACTGTATTTAACTATTTAAACTTCACTAAATACACAACACATAAGAATAATATGCAACCTTTTATATAAAATCCGGTTCGGAAATGCATTTATTTGCACGTTTTGCAGTCGGCGGCGTGGAGAGGTACCTTCAAGTTTCAGTCGTTACATAAGTACTATCTTATTGCCAGCGTGTTTCATGGTGACAAAAGGAAATAATAATAATATCAACATGTTTTTAAATACTAGCAACATTTTGCAGACCTCAAAACTTTGCCGACTCCAAAATCCGCTCTGGATATATCATCATCGTCATCGAGTGCCTTGCCGTCTGGCGTATTCAATATGAAGGCTAAGCAGCCCCCTTTAACAGTGTATATAAATTATCTTTGCTTGTACATTTCGTATTATTTCAAATATGTCATTAGATTGATTTGCCACTGGTCACATAATTATTATTAGGCTCTCAAACGAAGGTCAGGCTAACCGCAGTGCCCTCTCCTCTCGTGCTTTCGCTGTCAGAGCAGATGTCTGGTTGAGAAAAACTAGCATTTCACTGGGCTATCCAGCCACAGTAAATCACTCTCTAATCAATAATCAAGTTCTATCTTACACAACTGATTTCGTTTCGTGTCAACAGAAGCTGGGGTAACAGCTGCGTTGTGACGCTGGAGGCTGGGAAGCTTACACAGGGCGTTGTTAACAATTATCCTTCATCGGTCCATGGTCTAGTTAGAATATGGTAACAGTAAAGGGTAATTTTCTACTTCATGTGTACTGAATGTGCAGGACAAGAGCTACATTTTATATGTCAGTCGGCATTCTGTAAGTGATGTGGTCAACACCATGCTGGCCACCTTTACTTCTCAGGACTATACCTGGTACCCATTTAAAGGAGGATAGATCTGGGAGCAAAAGTCGTTAAGAAAACTCCGACAGGACCGAAACCCACGACTTTCGAATCCGCAGACGAGAGTCTAGCCGTACACCACGGGAGTAAGATAGCGGTATGAATATCGCCGAGAGAGAAGACAACAGGGAATTGAATGCTGCGTGTTTCAAGATATCAAATATCATCATTGTTGAAAAATCGTGACATGCTCCAATGGATTCAGTATAGCCCCATAAATGATCAAGTGGATGATGTCTCTGTTGCGAGCCGGTTAAAGGCAAGTGAAATCTAGTCATCTCGTTAGGATGCAGCCAGAATAACTAGCAACACAGGTGATACACTCGAATAGATCTGATTGTTTTTCCTCCTCCTTCTTCTTCTTCTTCTTCTTCTTCTTCTTCTTCTTCTTCTCCTTCTTCTTCTTCTTCTTCTTCTTCTTCTTCCTCTTCTTCTTCTCCACCTCTTCCTTCTTCTTTTTCGTTCGCCTTTAAAATGGCGACTGACATTTTTCGTTGTGGCTTCTAACTAGATAATATCTGCAACTGTGACCTTACTAGGTTAATAAAAGTAATTTAGTACACACGTTGGTCCAGGGGTAGACATCAATGTTAACTGACAGTGAAGGCAGCCGACAGTGCACACACCTGAGGAACGTACTTGAGCACGGTGACCACCAGTTTAATGTAGGAGAACATGTAGAGGAAGGTCAGCCAGGTGATGCTTCCGACGATGGCGATGATCAGTGTGATGCCCACAAACAACGTCACCAGTGTCATGAACCCTTTGCACACTTTGGTGACCTTTTGACTGCCTCTCTGTAGACATCAAAAAACACATTATTACATTTCCTCTATTTGCTCATGGCAGCCGGTGTGGTGTAGTGGCTAGGTGCTCGCCTGTGGATCCGAAGGTCGTAGGTTCAGGCCTTGACATAGCCAGTTTATTTAAAAACAATGACCTTGGCTTTTAGGTAGACCCAGTTTTCAATAGGTAGTAGGTAAAGTCCTGGAAAGTAAAGGCGACCGGCGTGATGTTGACTGATGTATAAAAATATAGGTCTAGTCATTTATTTCCACTACGCCTGAAGGCAAGGAAAAGGGTCCTTTACTTTCACTTTTTAATAGGCTGGGTTTTCCCCCCATTATAACTGCTCTTCAGGCTGAAACAGCCTTTACAAACATGCCATGTAATGAGAAATGAAAGTAGATCACTATATACAACAATAAGAAAGAGACAAAGGCTGTTTTTTGGCCACATAATGAGAAGAGAGACATTGGAGAACATAGTGACAACTGGAAAGATCAGTGGGAAAAGGGGTAGACGCAGACCAAGAGAGATGATGCGGGATGGGCTGAAACGATGGCATGGGGGGATATCATCAAGAGAGCTGTTCCAGGCAACCAGTCATCGTGATGAGCGCCTACGCCAATTAGCACGGCAGATGATGATGATGATGAGTGACATAGGAAGTAAAGGCGATCAGTGTGATGCTGATCAGTACCCATTGGTGTATAGAATATGTGTCGTACATTAAATGTTAAATGAGCGAACGGTTTGGAAAGGGTCCTTCACTGTCCTTACTCATGCATTAATGTAACTCGCTTAAGTAAATAGATCCTTTTTTCTACACTTTGAGGCGTATTGGGCATATAGTCCTAGATCTATATTTTATAGATCGACCGGCACTTGGTGGATGGTGTGGTCGCCTTTACTTCCTACCACTTCACCTGGTATCCATTTAAGGCTAGGTCGAGCTGGAAGCTAGTGTCATTTCTGAAGAAAAAAAAGTCCGTATTCGTGCGGATTTGAACCCACGATTTTTGGATCCGCAAACAAGCGTTTAGCCTCTACACCTTAGCGGCCCCCAAAGCACGCTACAGAAGCTGTTGGGTCAGCAAAAACAAAAAGGGTTCGAACTGCACTTATTCCAATTTCGATGTGGTAGTCTTTTCTAGACGAGACAGGGTTAAGAATACCAGCATTAGAGAGAAAGTTGGAATAAGACCATAACTGGATTATTCTGACACACAAACAATGAAATGGTTCGGTCATCTACTGAGAACGCAGCCAGACCAGAGTACATATGAAACCTTTTTTTTTTTTTTATAGTAGAACATCTGGAAGGAAGGTGAGAGGAAGACCGAGAAAGAGATGGATAAATGGTGAAGCTCTGAAACCTGCAAAAAGATGAACAAATCCATCAATCAAGGCACCCGAGAAGCGCAGGACAGAAAACCATGACACTGGGCAACAACCTGGTATCAGTGAGACGACAAACAAAAAAAGAAGTTTCTCAAGCTCCTTGTTCGGAATCGAATCTGATATTCCATAAACTCTTACTACAGTAACACTATTTTATTGCTAAACCTGTTTTACGGCGTGGCCTCACACCATCCTTCCAGAATAGTATTTGATAACAAGACAGAAATGAACATTTACCTCGTATATAAAGCATTGCACTATGACAACGGATGTGATGGTCACCGCGTGGAGTGCAAAGAATACGTCATTCACTTGTACTGGACTCACTCCGTCTGGGTGGTCTTGGAAATACTCCTCCTGCGCAGTGAAAGAGATCTGGTTTTTAAATGTCGATAAGACAGAACTTCTTCTTTATAGCGTTCAGTCAGTCATTCGGTTGCATGTCCTTTGCAGAACTTTGCTCTAATAACAACCCTGTGGAAAACTTATCGATCACAAGCAAGATGTCCCGCGTCCGATACACCCATCTTAGCGTTCACCGATTGTCAACTCCAGGGAAAAGCTCTGGTCGCTCGTCCACTTCTGGACTTTAGTCTTGTTTCAGAACGCGAATGTTTACAAATTCTTTTGGAAGGAAAATCCCAAATTAGGGAGACAGTGAGTCTATTCTTGTTTCCTCTAAATGGGATCCCATGACCCACACGAAGTAATAAGACAGAACAATCATTATATTTGTTCTACCTAGATATCACTTCTTCTTCTTTTTCTTCTTCTTCTTCTTCTTCTTCTTCTTCTTCTTCTTCTTCTTCTTCTTCTTCTTCTTCTTCTTCTTCTTCTTCTTCTTCTTCTTCTTTTTTTTCTTCTTCTTCTTCTTTTCTTCTTCTAATTCTTCTTTTGTTATTATCCTCAGAAAGGCCGTTGGTACGCTGAATGTTTCTGTAGAGCTAGGCTCGACCTTTCTGACAACTCATCAAAATGTCAGCAAATCTCAAATTTCTCACTTTTTACATGATACAATATTCGCCCCAAAACGGAACCCACACAGCGAATACTCTATTATGACTGGTTTTAGTTTGTAGCTGAAGTTGTGTGACGGGATGAGGTAATCGTTTTCAAGCCTATTCTCCTTAGCCGCCTGTGAGGATACGTATGGTAGATAACACACCTGAAAGGCCACGGTGACATACGGTAGGTCCAGTCTGTCGCCAGAGGCCAATTCATTAGGCCAATTAATTATCCATACTTGGACGAAACAGATGTCTTACTGCAGTCACATCAGAAAGCAGATAAGGGCCATAAAAGGCAATATCTAGAAGGCTTAGCAGCACAAAACAAAGTAGCACAAAGGGAACCGAAAAGACCTTAAAAGCAACACTGGAAAACACAAGAAATCTATAGTCAACAAGCAAACTGAACAAAAAAATTTTAAACAGCAAAGATCACAAATGAAATGAACAAACGGGTAAATGTTTGAAAAGTTTTTGAATGGAGCAGCTCTCTCTCTCTCTCTCTCTCTCTCTCTCTCTCTCTCTCTCTCTCTCTCTCTCTCTCTCTCTCTCTCTCTCTCTCTCTCTCTCTCTTGTGAGTATGTGTGTGTATTTATGTATCTATGTTGTTAGTATGTGTGCTAGTATATGAGTGTATGTGTGATTGTGGGTCTGTGTGTATATAATGTATCCAAGAATGTATGTATGCAGGTATGCATGTATATATGTAATATCTGTATGGGTGATTGTATATATGTGTGTATGTATGTAATGTGTGTGGGCTTGTATGTATGCAAGTATGCATGTACCTATGTGTGTATATATGCTTGTTGGGGGATGTATGTATGCTGTGCAAGTATGTGGGTGTATATGTGTATATTTAGGTATGTATGTATGTGTGTAAAGATGTGAGTGTATGTATAAATGTATGTATGCATGTATGTGTATGTATGCATGTATGTGTGAATATATGTATGCATGTATGTGGGTGAATGTATTCATGTAAGTGTAAATGTGTGGTTGTCGGCATATGTTGGTGTCTGTGCATGTGATTGTATAGGTGTGTATGCATGGGTCATGTATGGATGTGTATGTATGGAACGTGTGTGTGCATGCATATCCATAAATGTATGTGTGTTTTCTGTTTGCGCATTTATGTCTATGTATGTGTATGTGTTTTATGTTTGTATATGTATGTAGATGTATGTGTGTATGTATCACGTATGTCTGTATATGAGTTCACATGTATGAGAAAGTAGGAGTATGTATACGTGTGTGTGTGTACGATTGTGTACACATGATGTGTATATGCATTATTCTATATTTTATATTTCTTTAATATATCCATAACATGCATTATTAATAACAGGTATTGGTACTCTGAAAAATAAGTACTTAGAAGGGCCAATTGTCAGACAGGCCTGCGTGCCCAATTTGTAATCCTTTGAAAATAAAGTATGTTCGTTCGTTCGTTCTCTCTCTCTCTCACTCTCTCTCTCTCTCTCTCTCTCTCTCTCTCTCTGTGTGTGTGTGTGTGTGTGTGTGTGTGTGTGAGTATGTGTTTGTGTGAGGAGTATTTGTGCCCCCACCCCCTCCTTCCTCTCTGAATGTTTCCCACAGACTACGTTATTTTACATTATTTTATGTGAGTGTCTGTTTCAATCATCAATCAGTCACCTGCCGCCTCTGCAATGGTTTGCTGCTAGGGATCTTTAACACTGCACCTGCCCTTTGTCTTGGTAGTACACACTCTCAGACTGCTGTTCGTCAGTCTCTTGATGATGTGCTCCTTCTTGAATCGCTGTCTACCCCTTGCTCTCATGTCGTCGCCTTTTGCCCCAAGTATGGTTTTTAAAGGCATGTTATATATTTTAACAGTGAGTGCGTGAGAGTGTGTGGTAATGCCGCTGTATTGTCAGTACTTCAGACGGCGACCCTGAGGGACACAATCCATTCTGTAATATTTAATATTGCTTCAGAATAGGGTTAGGGTAAGGATTAATTAATATAATATTTAACAGAATATTATTATGTGAACACACAAATAATCGATTATGTCCATTAAGTCGGCGCTTAAAGCATTGCATACCTACAACAGATTTAGTTGTTTTTATAAAGTCATCCCCTTGTGGGATGCAATTGTCTTTTGTTATTTGAAGCGCCACCCTGGCTTCTGCCAGGGGCCCTGAATATAGCTGGGGCATAGATATGGCCGCCATAGAAATGGGCTATCGGCTGAAAGGGGTTTCTGGGACCTCTTCACGGGTGATCGTCGTCCGCATGGTGGCACTTTGTAACACCAGGTGTTTATCGCTTGTGTGATGTCCTAGTGGGGTGCAACTACCAACCTACCTACAAAAGATTGCGTCCCTTAGAGTCACCTCTTCATGCCTGCATATCTGTCGTAATGCTTACTTGTCTGTGTGTGTGCATCCGTCAGTCCTAATATGTCAGCCTGCCTATGAGCACAAACTGCCGCAACACTAAATCAGAGCTTACCCGCACTGACGGAATCCAGAACAAACCGACATTGTAACAAGAGTAGGCCACAAATCCAGTGATGTTGAACACAACAAAGTCGAAGCTAAGGCCAACGACACTGAAAGTATAATACAGGTACAAAACATTGAGAATAAAGAGTTAACAAAAAGCACCTGTTTTCGTATACTAATACTCCCGTATGGGTTCTGAAGCCCCAAAGTGGGGGCAAGTGGGAGGAGATTGGGGGGGGGGGGTTTAGACCCACTGAATCTCTAACAAGCATGCTGTAATTGTCGACTAATTGGAATTTTCTTTTGAAAGTCGGGGTGCATTCGACCGAGAGACAAGGAACCAACAGTAGTCTTGTTCCACAAAATGAGTGTTGCGCGCACATCCGTTTTACAGACCTGACTTATTTGTATGTAGACGGTTGGTCCCTGGCCTCTCATGCAGATGCATTCTGCAATTCACCCCTCCCACTTAAAATTTTCTTTGTTTTGACGCCCCAAGTATATGGTGCTTAACCGATCTTTAAATAAAACCAGTGGGCATACTACCTGTGAGATGATCACTCGCTGGTCGACAATCATTTTCTGGTAACCGTCTTAGACCGGGTTGGTTTAGAGAAGTGGGGGGGGGGGGGCGGTGGCCTAAGGTTTATTTATTAAATCTTCGCCTTGAAGATCTGCATCAGGCTTTGTTTCTAGAAAGAACAAAGTGCCGGTACTCGCCATAAAATGTCTTTTTTTTTAAAAAGGTGCCGTACTCACCATATAATTTCTATTACCGTAAGCAACATTAAAAGTCAATGGTTAAGCACCAGCACAGAAATCAAAATTAAACTTTTGAGCGCATGCATCTTTCCTGTAGCAACATACGGATGTGAATCGTGGACTATCTCCCAGTCATTAAGAAAGAAAATAAGGGCTTTAGAGCTGAAATACTGTAGAAAGATTCTCAGATTAAAATGGACATAGAAGACAGGCAGTAAGTAAAGCAAAGCAACATCTCTTCATTTTGCTACCTTTAGATCACAACAAGGGTCTATTTATCGAAAGCATCTGTCATTTACAGCATGTCGATTTCTTTATAGATACTGCCCTCTAAGCGTGCGAGTAGTGGTCAAATTAGTGTCCTCTCTTCTGAATTTCTTGATTGTCATCACGTCTGCTTTCATCAACGCTTCCTTTCTATAGTCTAGAAGTGGTGATTTTTTTTTAATTATGTCATAAAAGAGCGTAGTCTGAAAATTGTCGTGTGTTTAAATTGGGGTAGTCTGAAAATTGTCGTGTGTTTAAATCGCGGAGTTATTGTGCTTCATCATTCTAACGTCCTGGAGCTTCTAAATCATGCTTGGTTCTATTAATGGCTTACTTTCTATAGTCTAGAAGTGGTGATTTTTTTTAAGTATGTCATGAAAGAGCGTAGTCTGAAAATTGTCATGTGTTTAAATCGGGGTAGTCTGAAAATTGTCGTATGTTTAAATCGCGGAGTTATTGTGCTTCATCATTCTAACGTCCTGGAGCTTCTAATTCATGCTTGGTTCTATTAATGTTTTTTTTTTTTTTTTAAATAAACTACTTGATCTTATCTTAAGCTGTATCTATACCCGGCTGGGGTCACTGTGTTATGTACATTTTGTGACCACGCAGCTGGCAAAGAGGTTCGTAGAGCATGAGGTAGATTAACAAAAACAAGAACAAGATTCAACAACGACAAAATCTATAGAATGTATCTATGTTTGAGGCTACCACAAGAGAAAGAACAAGAACGGTACGCCTGCCCCGACACCCGAAGCTCCAAAAGAGGAGATAAAGAAGAAGTAGAAGACTTTGAACGTTTGCTGCTTATCCTATACCAGATGTTGCAGAACCATCATCAACATGTTTGGCTTTGTGTTTTCACGCAGCAATTTAAATCTCATTAGTTTACCACTGCAAACAGAACCTTTATTTTCGTCTACGGTTATGCTGGTATGAAAGGCAATGAAAGAGCAGACGCGCTGGCTGGCAGTGCGACAATCAGAAATGGGCCCTCTATGAACAGGAGAGACATCATCAATGTCATGCGAGAGATTAAACGCTGTGATGCTTTCAATTTCGCGGGAAATGATTTTCACTGTATGGACTGTATACCTTGGGTTTACCAACTGGAGACAGGAAAACCATGCGGGATCCACCCGTCGTTACATCAACCAGAGCAGAAAGGGAGTTCTTTGCCTAAACACACTTGGAAACATACTCATGCGGAGATCGGAGCACTTATGGCCATGTTCGATGTGCGATGAGATAACCTCTAAAATGAACAATGAACAATGCCAACAGAACAGACAGCACTCAATACCATTGTCGAAACCAACGCAGAACAGTCTGCTGCTAAGTCGCACGCAGCTGGAATGAAACCTAGCGATTCGGAATCAACGAAGCCCGTTCACAACTCCTAAGCCACAGACGTCGCCTGTAGATCCCATTTCTCCCCTTTTAGGTCTATTGGACATATGGTGCCAACCCGACCTACTGGTGGGTCCACAAGGAAACATACTAGACATTAAGTCACCACTGACCTTTGGAAAAGTTAGTCAACATAGAGTACTATGTTCAAACTTATCGAAAAAAACTGGCTTAGCCCCCCCCCCCCCCCCCCCCCCCCCCCCCCCAACTGACCAGGGTTACGTGAATCCAAGGCAGGTAAGTGAAAAATAAACATGGTGAGCAGTTGAGAAGTTTTCAGTGCTTGTCATCACTTTAACTGTGCTAGGTAGAGGTTGACTCTATAGGCACAAGAACTTGGACAACCCGCCCAGTATAGGCACTGCTCTTACCGAAAGAAATTGCAACCTACTGTGAGTATTTTGCAAAGTAAAGTCACCTCTGTAAAAAAGAGTAATGAAGCTGTCTTGAAAGAAACTGACTCCCGAAGAGAACAGATTGCCCACATTAGAAATAGACAATCTACATTATTTGGTCATGTGGTGAGAAGGAGAAAACTAGAGTACATCGTGACAGTAGGAAATATGGAGTGGAGATGAGGCGGAGGGAGCCCACCAGAAAATATGCTGGACAATTCGACATCATGGCAAGGAGGATCATCTGTGTCAGAGTTCACTGAAAGTAAACGAGACAGAAGGTTGTGGATAGAAATGACTACATGGACTTTAAGAAGATGAGAGCAAACATAATAATAATAAAAAGTAAAACCTCCTTAACACGAAATCCAAGGGATCGAAAAATTCAGAATTCGTATTAAAAAAATCGTGCAAACCGGGACTAATACGTGATTTTTATAAAATGCCTCTCTGCCGGGACCAAAATTTTGTTTAATTAAGCGCGTTTGTACAGATAATATCCTACAGGTTGAATCGAAAACTGGATATCGCTAAAAGATACATAAGGGAACAAACCTTTTCCGCCTCCAGTTTGTGTACACTTGAGGGTAGAAAGATAAAGTCCAGGCGGCGAAGTACATCCATCCCACCACAGCAGCGAAGGTGTTGATGGCTGCACTGTGCATCAGCTTGCCTGAATTGGTGACATTTGAGACATTTTGCACGTCGCTGTAATTCATTGCTAAATTTTCTGTTTTGTTTCTCTGCAATTTTTTATAAACCTGCACAGGCTACTGTTACATAACTGACTACTGGCTTTGTAAGCGAACAGATTTTTAAGACTTAAATGAACTGTTTCTTCAAAGCACTTAATATACTGTTAAATAGCTCCTTAAGAAAAGCTTCAGTCACTACCTTTGCAGGTTTAGATGTGCCTATGACTCGAATTAAACTTAGGTAGCCTCATTGTTATGTTATGAATATTTCTCTATTTGTTCCGTTCACAGCCTGTGAGATAAGACACGTTCAGATGTGGGTTTTGGTGTTACACCGGTTACGAACCAGTGTGACTGTGTCGTAACAATGCATACATAAGAACTAGGTCGACAGCTTAAAGCAGCGTTCTTCAAGTTTATGAGAAATGTTTTCGCCAACGGGCTGCAGTTTCGGTAAAAACAACAAATGTAGATAAAAAGTAAGTCCACTGCGGTCTTCTGCAATATTACGTGATGAGGTCCAAATATTTTCCTTGGTGCAACTCTCGTATCATTGTCTGAAAGCCACACACACACACAAAAAGCGGACCGCGAAGGAACAAACGAATGAAATTTATTTTCAAAGGGTCACAAATTGGGCATGCATATCCGTTTTACATTCTGCCCTTTCATCCTCTACACAGCAAATGTTCTTTATCTACAAAGTCTGTTCTGGTTATACAGCAATATACACAATATGCATATCAAGTCAAATACTCAAAGGCGTGGATTGTATAGGCGTGCATATGCACTGAGTCACCACTGTCCTGTGACAAGAAAGTTAACAAACGTTAATTGTGTATATCATCCAGGCATGATATACATAATTTACTCTTGCATGTATGTATGTATATATATATATATATATATATATATATATATATATATATATATATATATATATATGTGTGTGTGTGTGTGTGTGTGCGTGTGTGTGTGTGTGTATGTGTGCGTGTGAGTGTGTATGTGTGTATGTATGTGTATGTATGTATTATATATGTATGTATGTATTGTGTGTGTATGTATGTGTATGTATGTGTGTATATATATATGTGTGTGTATGTGTGTATGTATGTGTGTGTATGTATGTGTGTGTATGTATGTGTGTGTGTGTATGTATGTGTGTGTGTGTATGTGTGTGCGTGTCAATCAGCTGCAGAGATTCTAGAAAGACCGCGGGGAAAAAAGATAGTTACTGAAAGAAATTCCCCCCCCCCCCCCCCAAAAAAAACAACAGAAGCCTAAATTATTTCGGCCACATTTAAAGACACAAAACTCTTTTTTTTTAAACCATACCGGAGGGGGAAATCGAAGACAAGAGAGCAAGAGGTAGACAAGGATAAACATGGGAGGACAATATCAAGAGATGGATGAACAGAAGTGCGAGACAGTGTACTACCAAGACAACAGAGAGGGTTGGAGATTCATTGCAGCCAAACTTCACTGTAGAGACTGCAGCTCATTGATTGATGCTTCTAGTGCTGTATTTCGAGAGCAGCGTCTCATTTGAAGTAGCAATGTAGCACATAAATATTGCAGCCGCCACATTACTAGCGGACACTTCTAGCAGACCCGTTGGAAATTTTCACAGACCAGTGCCAGACCGCAAACTACAAGTTGAAGAACACTGAACTACATAAAGCATGTTATCTTTATTGTCTGTTTATACAGCATGTCTAATTTGGGAGCCGTGGCAGCTTGTCTGCAGGTCCATTGATCTTGTGTGCAAATACTCAGATCATTACCTCCACAAGGTAATCCTTTCCAGGCACATTGTTCAAAGTTGGCTTTGGCTTCCTGTCGGCGTCTGAGACTTCGGCACTGCTAAACACGCTTCGTAATTCCGCTGCCGGGTTAGATCCCAGGTGCTGGGTCTGACTGCGTTGGTATCGACAGCCGATGGTTTGGTAAATCAACAGAAAACTACTCAACTTGAAATACCCTAGCAAAATTACACACATTTTATAAAGTCTGCAACGTCTTTTACGGCATGAAATCTAGCCGATCTGCAAGTCTCTCGAGAACCGTCTTATCCATCTCATAGGCGCTAAATCATCTAGGGGACTTAACATCCAGCACAGTTTTTATCTAATGGTTTCGAGTTACGGTCCTTGAGACTACCGACTGCTTTTTTTTTGGGGGGGGGGGGGTGGAGAGGTTATTGGGGTGGGGATGGGTCGGCGGCCGCAGGCTAGTACTAGCAGAAATCAGAGTGCTTTGGCAAAAAATACATGGAGGGCGGGAGCCCAATTTATGTCTAAGCATACAATAATAATAATAATAATAATAATAAAAATCATAATAATATTAATAATAATAATAATAATAATGTCTTCAGTTGCCCCGAGAACAAAACTAAGTAATATATTTAAAAGGGCAGTCCAGCACCTTTAGTCTCTGTAATTAGTGTTCGTTTTAGGGTTTCTCTTGTACGACCCCGCTTCTTCGGGCCATTTGTTTTTCCATTCCATTACCTGTTTAGTGATCTATCTGCTCCTCGGGGTGGTCATAATATGTCGCCATCTTCTTTATCTTAAAACTGTTGATACTCGCAATCTCTCCAACATTTCTTTTTTTTTTTTAGGTCCAGCCTTATATGCCCAATGTGCCTGAAGGTGTGAAAAATGGCCCTTCGCTTTTACTTTACTTGAACAATATGCCCTTTAACCCGCCACTTGCCTAAAACGAGTCACTTGTTTTATTACTCAAAGCTACTCTAGCACGATCGTTACTTCTCGTGTTGTATTTCCGGACATTGTTTGTTTAACCTAGACAACAATAACTGGAAGGTAGCAACTGCGCGTGAAAACAGATCAAAAACAATAATGAATATTGATTATCTTTAGTTAGTCATTGGCTAATAAAACTGGGATATGGGGACAAAGTAGAATACACTCTTCCAACGATTCCACAAGTAAAGTAAAGAAACCTTTTCAACGGCTTCGCGCGTATAGGGCTTATGGGGATAGGCATATATTTTACAGACCAATCGGCATTTTGTGGGTGATGTGCTTAGCATCAGGCCAGTCACCTTTACTTCCCGGGACTCCACCTGGTACCTATTTAAGGCTGGTTCGAGCTGGGAGCCAAGGTCATTTTCGAAGGGGAAAAACAAAAGAAAGAGTCCGGTGCTGTCAGTACCCAAACCTACGACCTTCCGATTCTCAGGCTAGCATCTAGCAGCTACACCACAGCCGCCCCCCCCCCTCTTTTTTTTCCATATTACAAAATATGAAACAGCGTGGATGCTGGGAGATGTAATATTACAACCACTTCTGACACTGGTAGATTTAAACCTCATTTCGCTGACACGGGGCATATGAACAATGCAGGCGCACCGCCACCATAAACTTTTGAGGTAGGGGTTTTAGTCCCTTATAGTTTTCTAGGGCCTCGGAGGAATGAGAAGCGCGCGCGCGCTCAAGCTTTGTTTAAGTGCGCAAATATAATTAGTATTATCAATGGGCTGAAGAGCAAAAAATATATTAATATAATCTGAAATAATATTACATTCTTTTTTTTTTTAAACATCCATGCATGACTAGAGAACGACTTAGTTCTCTTGCATTTTTTTTTGGGGGGGGGGGGGGGGGGGGGGGGGAATGCACTAGGGGTTGGGGCTATGGAGAGACTTATTCTCCCCCCCCCCACCCCTGCTCCCCACACAAGAATTATTGAAAGGTCACAGATACGCTTATAATATGTGCGTGTTGGGGGGGGGGGGGGGAGGGGGACGCTGAGAGTGCCCGAGCTTCCAGAATCCGACACCTATGATAATATGTACCTAGGCTCTGTTAGCAGAAATAAATGTGTAAGCTAAATTACACTGTTGTAAACAGCAAAAAAAAGAATGCACGCGATCAGTCAACAATAAACACAACTTTCACGACCATTTCATTGTACCACGTGGCAATGACAGCAACAACAAACAAAGAAACACCCCCCCCCCCCCCCTTTTCCAAAAGTGATGAAAGGACACATTTCTAGAAGCCACGAACTTTCACTTAACTCTTTTAATCCCAGACAGTTGTCGTCAACATGTTAAAATGGGGATTAGCCAGTACAACCAACAACAACACCAACAACAACAACAACAACAACAACAACAACAACAACAACAAAACCATTGTGCATAATTTTTAAAGAAATTTCAAAATCCGTGAAAACCTACTGGACCAGATTTACTTAGCAAGGTCAAATGTATATTTAACACACACACACACACACACACACACACACACACATTAAAAATACACTTATCCGACGACGTCTGCGGCTTAAGCAATGCGAACGTTCCATATAATTCCGAAATACCCACTTCGATGCCAGTGATTTGCCAGCGACCGCTTCATGTTGATTTTGGACAACAGAAAGAGACCACTTAGGAAGTACCGAAAAACTAATGCACGTAAACTTGTCTAGTTAACACTCCCCCCCCCCCCCCCGCACCTCCACCCCAACCAATTCCCCCGCCACCTACACCAAAGCCCAAAAATGCTAGTGTCGGTTCTGCATGGTCCTGTAAAGGATACGCTCCTAACTTTATTAAAACACTTTTTTTTTTCTGTTAGCTAAAACTCACAGATGGTGTCAATCACTCGCTTTCTCTCTCTCTCTCTCTCTCTCTCTCTCTCTCTCTCTCTCTCTCTCTCTCTCTCTCTCTCTCTCTCCCCCCTCCCTCTCTCTCTCTCTCTTGTTGTACCCCAACAGGACATCAGACAAGCGATAAACACCCAGTGACACAAAGTGCCAACATGCAGATGTGAATCATTCGTGGAGAGGTCCCAGAAACCCCTTTCAGCCGTTAGGCCATATCTATGGCTAAACCACATCGATGCCCGGGCTATATTTAGTGCCCCCGGCAGAAGCCAGGGTGGGGCTTCAAATGAAAAAATTACGACAATTACAGTGATAGGCGGATTATGTTTGAATCACAAATTACACGTTTCTTGAAACTGAAACTTTAGAAACAACAGATCTAGTCA